CCCCTTATTTATCTCATTTCATTGAAGAAATCTGTGTTTAAGTTTTTTGTCAATACGAGTTTTTTACTGTAGAGGTTTAGTGATTTTTGTAAAAAAATCTAAATTTAAATCAATTTAGGATAGCGTTGATGAAATTTTAGGATAATGGTAGACGTGATGATGTTATTTTAGGATAGTGATACATAGCGAACAGACAAAATTGAAATAGAATTGAAATGTCGGATAGCGTTTTCGGATAGCGTTTCTGATTTAGGATAAAGAACACACAGATACGAAAATTTTAGGATAATACATGGCGTATATGGACGTACAAACAGACAAACACAAAAACAGAGTATTTATAGTACAACTTACTAACTTACTCACTTACTAACTCACATGATTTGTGTACAGGTCCTATTCTAGAAAAAGATTATGTCAAAATGATGGAGGAGCATGGATTTAAGGTTTTAAATAATTTCCTTATTCATTATTTTCGTTTTATAAATACTAATTTTTATTTAGATTCATAATTTCTTATGTTCAGGTTCATATGTCGCAGACATTGACTTTAGAATACATTCTTAGTAGAGAGTTCATTGATAACTATTTCAAGACACGAGTTCTAACTGGATTCAAAAGTTTACAGGTAGCTCAGTTGCTTCATAATTTTGACTCATATGGGCACTTCAAAGTAAAATACTCATAAGATTAAAATCTTATATGGTTTTAAACATAACTTCTTTCTTTGATTAGCTCTTGTGTATGAAATTAATAAATTTGGTAAATATTTCTTAAGGATGATAAAAGAGAGCTTTTCTTGACAGAATATAAGAGAAGGATGGAGAACAAAGTAAGATAAATGATAAATAATTATTCGCGCACCTATTCCTTTTAGTAAAAGTAAATTCAACCTATACGAAGCGTAAAGTCTGACCGCGTCAACCTTGTTGCACCGGCTAGTCCTGTCCATAGAGCTAGGTACAGTACAAACTGAAACCGAAAAGGTTGACCCAGCTCAGAAATTCAAATGTACTATGGCTGCCCGTGTATTGTTTGAAATAAAAAATAAACATAATAAATTTAATTTCAGGATACTCTGAAAGTTGTCAATTATCCAATGGATGTATTTCAAGTTCTCGGTCAAAAGGTAGAAGAGCTTTGAAAATTAGAAATTATCAAGATGAAAAATGCCAAAGCGGAGGAATTTAGAAAACAACTTCCATCTGGGATTTCAATGTTTTTTTATGTAACTAGAGCAATGTCATGTGTTTAACTGATATTGGAGCATTGAAATATATATAATATAGATATCTTTTAATTTGACAATATCAATGAAAAATATTTAAATTTAGTAATGAAAGGAATTGCGTCTTTGCCACAAACTCTGATTTTCATAATCTTTAAAAACCCAATGTCGTGGACCTCAGCTACTTCAAACAATGAATTCTTTGAAATCAAATAGTCTTTGAAATATCAAAGGATTTAACCATCAGGTTGCAAAGCAATAGGATTGTACATTTTGAGTTTGTGGCAAAGACTCCTTTATTTTGAGCTTTATTAATTAATCTGTTCTGGAATCTAACCTGTAAACCTTTTGATCTAAAGGGAATTTGATCTAGGAGTAATTAATCTGATCTAATGAGAATTTGATCTAAAAAAACTTGGAAATGGATCTAAAATATTTTTTTCTAATCTTATTTTTCATGTACTTTTTATATTTTAAGTGAAGAATTTCATCTGAATTTTTTCCTAATATTGGGAATTGGATCCAAAATATGTAGAATTGGATCTAAAATATTTTTTATCAAAAATTTAATTTTTTAAATGACATTTTTGCCTCAAAATCTCCCAAAATTCTTAACTTTTTTTCTAAAAATATGGAATTTGATCTAAAAAGTGTAGACTTTGATTCAAAAAGAGATGATAGTAGGTTTCAGGGTAGAGATGAGCCAAAAGGTTTATAAATCAGATTCCTGAACAGGGTTCAGGTTGGAAAAATAACCAAAGCCCAACTCCCAAGTACAATTGAACCCTGCAATGACAAATGCAATTTTGTTAATTTTAGGCTCTTATTCTTCCCATTTTAGATCATATTCCACGCATTGAAAAAATATTCATCAATTTTCAGACAGAAATATGTTTTATTTGAAATTTAAGTTTTAGATCAAGTTCCACAATTTTCCGAAAAAAATTGGAATTCGATTTAAAATTTTTTTAGATCAAAGTCCAAGTAGGTCAAATTCTTTTAGATCAATAAGGTTATTGATCGAATTCTATGCATCGTGATTAATGATGAAAAGGTTGCGGATATAATTGAGTTATTTGAGTTAAATGAGCTAGTATTTAAATGATTACAATTCCTATGATTAATATCTAAAAATTATTATCAAGTATGATATGTTTTATTTAGACTTTCTTATTAAAGGATAATTATTGGATATAAAGGAAGTAAAACAATTTTTTGTTGTTGCTATATTTCCATTTTTTACTTTCAAACTTTCATTTTCATACTTACTGAAGTACGTTGTGTACTTTAAAAATTTCTATAAATGCTTTTTCACATTTTAAAAGTTACCTTGATATATTTGAAGATATGGGCAAAAAATTATCATCACTATTATTATTATTATTGCAATTATTATTATTATCATTATTTTAATTCTTGTTTTTATTGTAATATCATTATAAAATATGATTACTGACACAGCAACCCATGTCGTACATTCATTTTCCGACAACAACAAGATGTCGTGCACAGGGTTTCCAACAACAAGATGTCGTGCACAGGGTTTCCAACAACAAGATGTCGTGCACAGGGTTTCCAACAACAAGATGTCGTGCACAGGGTTTCCAACAACAAGATGTCGTGCACAGGGTTTCCAACAACAAGATGTCGTGCACAGGGTTTCCAACAATTTTTATTGAATATTTCTTGTAGAACTTCTATTGTTTATCAAACACAAATGTAATATAAAACATAAGCAAAGTTACATTGAAATAAAACAATTCTGCACATAAAGCAATAAATTTAAGTTAAAAAATACAAAAAAATCTTTATTATGCAAAAACCTAAACATTTAAGATATGTGAAGTAAATATTTCAAAAAATTTTGAAATTTAACAACCAGTGAAAATAAATAAAATCACCAAATCATGAAGTGAAATAAAAAATAAAAAAAATACTGGGCAACCAAAGATAAAAAATTTAGATTTAATTTAACAAAAAATAAGAAAAAATTATGCCTCGGCTGGAATATTAACATAGGTCTCAATCTACCCCCTGTCCATATATGGTAGAAAATCTTTCCCTGTCCTTGCCTCTTTTAATCTCCCCAGGACCAGGGCAGCCTCCACGAGACAGGACCAGGGCAGCCTCCTGAGACAGGACCAGGGCAGCCTCCACGAGACAGGACCAGGGCAGCCTCCTGAGACAGGACCAAGGCAGCTTCCACGAGACTCAAAATCATTAACATTTAGAATATAAATGTCAATTTCTCACTGGAGAATGTAGCTATAACAGTCGTCGCATATATCAATACAATGGAGACAAATTTTGATTTCAATTTTGATTTATATCAAACTGTTAAACCGCATTGGCGCACAATAAGACATACTTAATACTTCTAAATTTTTAATTTAAAAAAAGTTGTGTTCATTGTATTGATATATAATTGCATACCAACGTAGATAAAAATCACACCAATTATTCAGTTCAAAATATCAAAACCCCATTACACTTAATTTAATTTATTGCAACACTGAACTTGCAAAAGATTGCGAGAATGTCGTCTTCTTATTTCACAGTTTTATGGGTCTAACTGAATTTGAATTTTCTAAAAAATTATATTTTGAAATTTACGTAAATGTTTAATTGTTGAAAGAAAGAGATTTTTTCGAAAAATCGTTCATTGCCGAACTTTGATTTTATGACTTGAACAGAATTTGAGAGGTCGAGGTTCAACATCGAAGTAGATTAGGAATTAATCTGAACTGCCGACTAAGTTCGACCGTTGCATGGCGGACGGAGTGGAATGTTTGTCGAGTTTAGTTAATTATTATTTAAAGTTATTTTCATTAACCCTAGACTGTCCTAGCCGCAGCGCTCGGCCCAGAAATTGTCTTAACCTAACCTAACCCTCAAATAATACAAAAATAAACAGCTGGCGTAGGTCCAATATTGCCGTAGGTCGGAAAGTTAGTAGGTCGGAAGTTCAGTAGGGGGGATGTTGCGTATAGACGATGTAACATTACCAAAAAACAATATTAATTGAAATCTCTTCTTTTAAAAAATGATAACAAACCTTTTTATCGAAAAAAATTGTTTTGAAATTAGAAAAATTTGATTATTCATGACATATTAAATTACAATATTGACATGTTTATAAAATGAATACCAATTTTAGCGGGTTTAGTCAGGTTAAGCAACTTTTTAGCCAATTGTTGAACTTTTGTCTATTTTTGAAAGTAGACAATGTCGTCTTTGCATTGAACCAAACCAAACCTATGGCCTGCAGCAAGCAGCCACCCTGTCACTAAACACTCTATTTAGTATTTTGCGTCATTTGTCCCATTTCTTGCTCTCAAATAAAACACCCAGGGAAAAGTACGAACACACTGTTTTACATAAATCAATTCGAAATTATAAATTGAAAGTGAGAAAGTTTCTAATATCAATGGTTACTAGATTAAAAAAAGTTAGAAAGTGAAATGATTATAATGTTAATATTGTGATTATTTCTTATTTCAAGAATAAGACGGAATATTGAAATAGAAACGTTATGTTTGAAATAATTACCGTAAATTTAAAATAGATTGTGTTTATTTCATTTCTGTCATGTGTAGCTTAGAAAAGCTGAATAGTTAGGTTAGTCTAGGTTTTTAAACATCCAATTGGCAATTTATAAATCTAGTCGTTTAGAAATATTTGAGCCAATTACTGCGTACAGCGTACTGCGTTGCTTATCTTCGTGCTTCGTAAAATGTAAATAAACGCAGCAGTTAATGGTTTGGGTTTGTTTACATATCCGGTATTTTCCTAGAGAACGATTTTTGGACCCCCCCCCCCTCCTATCAATTTTGTACATGGGTCTGACAGAAAGAGGGGGGGGTCCAAAAATCGTATACTAGGAAATTACCGGGGTCTAAAAATCGTTCATTAGGACAGACTCAGTGGATGGTTTGGATATGTTTACATATCCTGTTGCAATATTGCATTACACTTTCAAGTCCCTTTTCTAACCTTGAAGAAGGGAATTAGAATTTTATGCACGTGACTTAAAACAAATAGCTACGCAATTAGGGTGTAATAATGTTTCTGGGCGAAAATATTATTTATGCCTTAAAATTATTTAATTAAACAGCTTCTTTTTTGGTCTGTCCTTAGAGCTGAGAGCGCTCTTTGGACCCAATATCCCCTCCTATCAATTTTGTGCATGGCCTCAAAAAGCGTTCTCTAAAAAACTACCCTTATTTTAATTTGTGAATATGAATTCTTAATATTTTAAATGTTTCAGATAAAAATGCATTAGTTTTATTGTTGGAGACTTGCTGGGAAAATATTTTAGGGAAATAAACGGATAAATTAAACTTTATTGACGACAACCACAAATGGTAAGATAGTTGAGATAAAATGGGAAACTGTTTTTCTACGGATAGCGGGGGCCATCATGCCTCTGCCCCATCTCCTGGTATTCCCAGACTAACCGAAGCCCCTGTAGTCTCAGGACTAAACTCGGAGAATATAGTCCCGATGGTTCCTCTGGACCTCGGACATTCCAGACCGCTACCAGACCCAACAGAATCAACTCCATCCAGTATTAAGGTATTTTTATTCTAAATTAAAGGGAATGTTAGCGAAATTGCCCACGATTTAAAAAAGTTTCAAATCGGTGCCCATTTACCACCTAAATGTCAACAATTGAGATTAATTTAGAATTTTTGTTTGGGCGATTAAATTGCCTTATGTTAAAAAAAATCTAAAATTTTTACAGAACGCTGAAATAAATTTATTGATTGATTTTGTTTGATTAATTGATTGATGGACTACATTTTCAAAATTGATTTAGGTGTTCGTAGCACTGTATGATTATGATGCACGGACAGATGAAGATTTAAGTTTCAAGAAGGGTGAACACTTGGAGATTATTAATGATACACAAGGTATATTTGGTGATTATTAATGATACACAAGGTATATTTGGAGATTATTAATGATAAACAAGGTATATTTGGAGATTATTNCAAGGTATATTTGGAGATATATTAATGATACACAAGGTTATTTGGTGATATATTAATGATACATAAGGTATATTTGGAGAGAAATGATAATTTTTAAACTAAGTAATTATTTTAACAGATTATACATAATTGTTAGAATTATAAAATATCTGTAAATATTACGAACTTCATAAGAATTTTCATTATATTTGCTCAGTGTTAAGATAACGAGAAAATTGAGTTTTTTTCAAATATTTACTTTAAGATTACAAATAATGTAAAAATGTAATAATGTTCTAATCATGTAAATGAAAATACTCACTGCGTACAAAATTTTGTGCGCTACATGCCAAGAAATGAAATAAAAGTTATATTGTTTTTACACTAAGTTCCCTATTTTTCGCCACGTAGATGTTCGGTGTTGTTTTTAAAAGGTTGCGATCCCCCCCCCCCCCTTTCATTGACCTTTGACAACCTAAAGGGGAGGACGGCCGTAAAAACTTTCACGCTAATTAATCATTTTGAGTTTAAATTGATTCAATTTGATAAACTGAAAGCCCGCATTGGGTGAAGGCCAGTTTAACAAAGAAACATGTGTTCTCATTGGTCTTCAATTATAAAGACATCGGGATATTATATATATCAGACATTTTACAGGGCGAAACAAATTTCATCGAATTGATTTTTCTCTCAAATTGAGATTTAAACACGGAATTTCATGAATTTTTCGTAACAATTAAAAAATATTTGAAGCAGAAAATATGAGCAATCAAGAAAATCCAAGTGACACTGTTTACTAGTTTTTCAGGGTATCTTGACTAGATATTATTTTTAAATAATGTTTTTAGGGTATCTGGACTGGATATTATTTTTCTAAATAATGTTTTTAGGGTATCTTGACTAGATATTATTTTTAAATAATGTTTTTAGGGTATCTGGACTGGATATTTTTTTTCTAAATAATGTTTTTAGGGTATCTGGATATTATTTTTTTAAATAATGTTTTTAAAGTATCTGAATATTATTTTTTTAAATAATGTTTTTAGAGTATCTGGATATTATTTTTTTAAATAATGATTGCTAAAATTGTTAATTTTTACGAAAACTTGTAGCTATTAACATGAATACTTATAGCTATTAACATGAAAACTTATAGCTATTAACATGAAAGATTAACAAAATATGAAAAGCTGAAATGAAAATTTATGAATATTTAATTTCAGGAGACTGGTGGTTTGCTAGATCCAAAGCAACTAAACATGAAGGATATATTCCATCAAATTATGTGGCAAAACTCAAATCAATAGAAGCAGAACTGTAAGACATTTTTTTTAAATGGAATTTTTTGTTCTGAGACAAATGTATCGAGAATTTTTATAGATGAACGGAGTGTTAAAGGGAACGTAAGCGGAATTTTAACTGAATCTCCAATAATGTGGAAATTATATATATTTTTTTGTGATGAAAGAGGTTAATTCTGATAATTCCTTCATGTTTTCCTTTAGTAGAGAAACCACAATCGAAAATCAGTTTTCAACATTAGAAATATGGATAGATAATTTCTGATTGATCAGACAAAGCTTTTAAGGGCACCCGTTGTGAATCGGACATTGAGAATTAAAAATACGTTTGCTGTCCCTCAAGTAATGCTGTTCACTGTAATGATTAGTTTCATGATTATTCTTTTTCAAACGTTAACGCTTTGTTTCGGGAGTAACGGAGAACAAAGAGAAATTTCTCTTTTTTGTTGATGTTTTTGAAAAAGTCCTTATTCCGCATTAAAAATCTGGTCGATTACTCTTGAAATTTGTTGATTTCTTATTTTGAAAGACGTTATATTGTCTTATTTAATTTAAAAAACACTTTCCCTTTTTATTAAAAATATTGCTTAATTGTTCAACTGTCCTTCATAATAAAACTCTATTTAAATATTTATCTTGCAGATGGTATTTCGGGAAGATCAAGAGGATCGAAGCTGAGAAGAAATTACTCCTGGTGCAGAATGAGCACGGTGCCTACCTGATCAGGGACTCGGAGTCAAGACGAAATGATTTCTCTCTCTCCGTCCGAGACGGGGACACGGTGAAGCACTACAGGATCAGGCAGCTGGACGAGGGAGGGTTCTTCATTGCACGCCGAACTACTTTTAGGTGAGATCATTATATAATGACTTTAAAAAAGAGTATTGTTTATTTCCAAGATAAAATATACCTCCTTAAACATGCCGCCTCCCCCCCCCCGCAATTTCCGTAAAAGTTCATTAATTGGCCGACACCCACCACCACTTTATACTCGTACATATAAACTGTTTGTTTTTGATTGATTTTGATGGTTATTTTATTGTTAGAACTGACGAGGGTCAACCCAGACCGAAATATATTTTCAAAAAACGTGGAACTAGCATATCTATACTTTATTTACTTCACCGAATTTTAATTTTAGCGGGACAATAAAAAAGAAAAGCATTAAATGGCTTAAAAAGAAGAAATGGGTACAATAATTTATTTTGATTAATATATTTGATAATTTTTTTTGTTTTGTTCAGAACCCTTCAAGAGTTGGTGGAACACTACAGCAGAGATGCAGATGGATTATGCGTCAACCTTAGGAAACCATGCGTCAAGGTAGGTTAAATGGATTATGCGCCAACCTTAGGAAACCATGCATCAAGGTAGGTTAGATGGATTATGCGTCAATCTTAGGAAACCATGCGTCAAGGTAGGTTAGATGGATTGTGCGTCATCCTTAGGAAACCATGCGTTAAGGTAGGTTTGTTATATTATGGGTCAATCTGAGAAAACCATGCGTCAAGGTAGATTAGTTGGATTATGGGTCAACCTGATAAAACCATGCGTCAAGGTAGATTAGTTGGATTATGGGTCAACCTTAGGAAACCATGTGTCCAGGTAGGTTAGATGGATTATGCGTCAACCTGAGGAAACCTTGCGTCAAGTTATGTGTGTTATATTATAAGTCAACCTTAAGAAACCATGCGTCAAGGTAGGTTAGATGGATAATGTGTCAACCTTAGGAAACCATGCGTCAAAGTAGGTTAGATGGATCATGAGTCAACCTAAGGAAACCATGCGTCAAGGTAGGTTTGTATTATTATGCGTCAACCTTAGGAAACCATGCGTCAAGGTAGATTAGTTGGATTATGGGTCAACCTTAGGAAACCATGCCTCAAGTTCGGGATGAATTATGCGTCAACCTCGCAATTTCACCCTGATTATTTAGCAAAATTATTATTTTTAAGAATCTTTGTGTTTATAAATCCGCCTCAACCCCTCCTTTGTCTAGATGGATAAACCGACGATAGCTGACCTGAGTCACAACACGAGGGATCAGTGGGAGATAGAGAGAACTAGTCTCAAGTTTGTTCGGAAACTCGGACACGGACAGTTCGGAGAGGTCTGGGAGGGACTCTGGAACAATACTACTCCTGTTGCAATCAAAACTCTTAAAACAGGTATTTTACAAGATTTACATTATGCAATTATGCAATTGCTATCAAAGGGTGTTTTAAATTTATTGTATAATTAAAATCGGGTTTATTTCTTTCCCTATTTAGTGTTTTTTTTTTCTTTTAAGCAATTATTATTAAACTATGAAAATGCTGCTCACATATACTTCTACGTTTTAGAACGTTTATATGCTTGTTTAAGCTTCAGTTGAAAAAGAGTAATTGGCAAAATTCTTATAGATTTTTAAGCATGTTCCTTTTTTATCTTGTTGTTTATCCATTTACATTTTTTCTGCTTGCTTGATAATTGTATTTTTTTTAAGGAACCATGGACCCTAAAGATTTCCTGTGTGAAGCGCATATAATGAAGAAATTGCGGCATCCCAAACTAATCCAGCTGTACGCGGTATGTACCCTGGAGGAACCTATTTATATCATTACTGAGCTCATGAAGTACGGCAGCTTGTTGGAGTACCTACAAGGTAGTACTTTTATTTAGATTTGTTTTGGTACTAATCGTAGTTGTAAACATGTTAAAAAGGATAATTTTCGTAACAATTTAGTCTGTGTTATTAAATAGTTGTAAAATAACCTTTTTTTTTTGGACGATCCTTCCTGGTGAAGTTTTACAAACGACTTTAGGCGCTTATTTAGAAAATATACACAGTAAACACGTCTTATTTAGAAAATATACACAGTAAACACGTCTTATTTAGAAAATATACACAGTAAAAACGTCTTATCGTTTTTTTCTCTAAAATACTGAACTCTCCAATTACATTCATCGTCCTTACCTAGCCAGTCTTTTCCTTTAAGATCCAATTAACTTTCTTCATATTTGATCGTATTATTTATTGATTGATTGATTGATAATTTAGTTACTAATTGATTGATTGATTGATTTACTGATTGATTGATTGATTACTGATTGATTGATTGATTACTAGGTAAGGGTAAGCTGCTGAAGCTCCCCCAGCTTGTGGATATGGCTGCTCAAGTAGCCGCCGGTATGGCCTACCTGGAATCACAGAATTATATCCATAGGTAAACAAAATATTACCTAAAGGGACTGTAGGCCGTAGCGCGTAGGTTTATTATTGGATGCCGAACTTACCCTTATTAATCTACATGTTTGCTTGTTATTGTTACTTAAAGAGACTGGCGTATTATTAATTAAGATGCCGAACTTACCCTTATTAATCTACAGAATCGATTGTATTTGTTACTTAAAGGGAATGTAGGCGTATTATCAAGTGAGATGCCGAACTTACCCTTATTAATCTACAGAAACTTTTGTAATTGTTCCTAAGGCAATGTAGGCGTATTTCCAAGTAGATCGGTGTGTCCGATTTACAATAGTCCGATTATAATCCTTTGACGGATCAAGTATAAATTAATCTACAAAAACTTTTGTAATTGTTAAACAATTGATTTACAAACTTTTTTAAATTTAAGAAATATTTATATTTATTTTTTGAAATCCGTAAATCAGTCAAAGATCGAAATCGCACACTCCCCACTGTGCATGGATGGTCACTTTACTGTAAGTAAACTTACAGTCCTTTCAATAAGTTAATTGTTTTTATATTCTTTTTTCTCTATCTATGAAGTCTCAATTCAAATTTACTTAACATGTCATTTAAATATTTATCCTTTTTAGGGATTTGGCGGCCAGAAACGTCTTGGTTGGGGAGAACAATATTGTCAAAATTGCGGATTTTGGGTTGGCTCGGTTAATCAAGGAAGACGAATATGAGGCTAGGGTTGGTGCCAGGTTCCCCATCAAGTGGACTGCCCCCGAGGCGGCAAACTACTCCAGGTTCTCCATCAAGTCAGATGTCTGGAGTTTCGGTATTCTTCTCACAGAGCTCGTCACATACGGCCGAATCCCATATCCAGGTTGGAACTATTTTATAATTTATTCATTTCATATTAAAGTGGGTTCATGCATTATGGGGGATGTAAAAAGTTACATGATTTCTTAACATCGTAATAAAAAATACGAAGAATTTAAAGTTAAACTCACATCTTAATAATATGAAAATGAAGATAATTTGTTACATAAAATTGTTAATTTTCTTCTTTTTTCCAATTACTTTTTTCGAACCAAAACGCCACTTTTAACTACCGGAAGGGGGGGGGGAGGTAAAAAAAATTGCATCGTCCTTTCCTGAATCTAGCAGTTGTCCGTATCTTTTGTCGTCCGAAAGATTTAATTATAATTTCTGTTGATAAGAGAAATAATCCTCTAATTATTTAATAAAAAATCGCTCTTTTTTAAATAACTTTTAATGAACAAAAATATCCCCCCCCCCTTAAATACCGGGAGGGGGGGGGGCAAAAGAGCAGAGCTTAAACTTTTGAGTACTCATTCCCTGTATCTATCTATCTGTATTTTATGTCGTCCAAAGGATTGAATTAATTGATGACATAGATATTCTATGATTATAACCTAGCGGGGCTATTGAATAACTGACATTTTATCAATCAAGTTTTGGCCTCAGGTTTGACTCTTTACAGTTTTGACAAAAAGCAAAATAATATTTAGGAATGACGAATGCGGAAGTGTTGCACCAGGTTGAGCACGGATATAGGATGCAGTGCCCCCAGGGTTGCCCCCCGCTCTTCTACGACATTATGCTTGAGTGCTGGCACAAGGACCCGATGAAACGACCAACCTTCGAGACTCTGCAGTGGAAACTCGAGGATTTCTTCACAATGTCCGACTCTGAGTACAAGGACGCCTCAGCGTACTAGGACTCTACGCAGTTGTACAAATTTTGCGTATCTTAGTATTTTTGATTCATGACTCCCCTGGTTTAGATTTAACTATTAACCCTGTAAGTTTAGCTCTTGTTACTGCAGCTCAAACTATTATTTCCCCTAAACCAGGGGGTATATAAAATTCCATTCATTACGTCCCAAATGTTGATTGATTGATATTAGGGGCAGAAATTAACCATATTGTTATTGTAAAAATTGGAAGTTTGATGTCAAAAATTCCATACTGCAGAATGTAAACTGCAAGGAAGTGGTATTTTCAGTATATCATAAATTTACTCTTATTGATTATGATAATTTCCATCTGTTAACTTCCCAAATGCAGTACACATATCTGAAGTATAGTGCACGAACACAATCAACTTGCCAAAGTTCACATTGACACAGAAAGTGTATACCCCAAAATGTACTTTCAACACCGATCCTAATTGGGATGAGGAATGGAATTACATGGACCCCTGCCCTAAACTGGTTTAGTTTTGTTGAGATGACCGTGCAGCTTTTTCTGAAGATTCCTAGTTAAAAAATATTGTCCTCCCATTTTTAATTGCTCTCAAAACAACCTCAATCAATGTTAGTAATTTACATTTTCGTGAACTATTTGATTACATAAACTCGTATGGCCTTCATTTTCAAGATAAAGACGACATTATTTTTCTACTAAAATATCTGCCATAGAATCATATTTTTCCATCCAATACTTTTCTAGTAACAAAGTTTTCAGAATTTAACCGTCATTTACAAAGTAATACTGAAAACTCTTATTTGATTGATTGAAACCCATATCGGCTAGATTAATTTACAATTTTTCATTGATGGCAACCTATTAATACAGAATCTTATCATGCTAATTGTTCTCAGGACTTAAAATATAGAAAAATTTAACTATAAATCATTATCTTAGAACTATGTACCGTTTACATTATACAGTACACTGTACAACTGTTCAGTCCTAGGTTCAACTCTGCATATTAAACACTTTGTGTAATTTTATATCTTTGTACATAATCAATAAACGTGCATCAAATATTACAATAATATAAATTGTAAACTAGAAATTGAACTGAGCATAAAAATCCCCGAAATAAATTTATCGCCATTCAAGTTCATTCAAAATGGCGGCTATTTTTTATCAATATGAATTATTTTAATATTATAAATTTTTTTCTCTCTTGTAACTAAACTAATATTTTGTTATGTTTTATGAAATAAGCAAAAATGTATGTAAATTTTTAACCATTGACTCATTCAAGTCGTTGCTTCTTTTTACAATGTAAATTTGACACAAATAAACTTTCAAATTCTTCAACTTTTTTAAAATAAAATTGTTTTGTAATCAATTTTTTCATCGGTAATGTGACTTTTTTTGAAAATTTTGTAAATTTAATTTGCTATTATAAACTACACAGTATTTTTTAAGATGCTCTCAACGCATTAATATTCTTCAAAAATACATCAATTAACATTGGCCTTAGTAATGTTCCTTTTTCAGTATATGTAGCGCCTACATAGATTAATTTACTTTCTGTATATTTGTTGTAAAATTTATTTTAAATATTGTCAATAATATTGTTCGCCTTTAGGTAAAGTAGAGAAGGTTATTGAAAAAAATAAGTTAGCTGAAACTGATCTTTAAGTTCAATTATCCAACTTTCGTATTTCCTGCAAAGTAAAAAGGTCAAACTAATATGGGTTTGTAGTTTTTTGGTTCATTTTGACATTTTACAAATAAAAAGAAATAAATAAAGTGACAAAAGTATTTCTTTCTCTACTTTAAAAGATTATTTACTTTTCACCATGTTTTGTTTATGTTGTGATAAATACGACAATAAATAATTTTGAAAAAAAACTTTAAAGTTGAAGAAAGGATGTATCTCAAGGAGTATGGAATAGAATGGAGATAAAACTGACGCGGCCCGCCCTACCATATAATTATTCATGCTTTGCAGACGGTACTTAATTTGAGTAAGAAATTTTTGTCTGATGTACAATTAACGCATATACAATAACCTATTCTGAATATTTCTTATACAAATGAAGTACCCGTCTGCAAAGCATGCATAATCATATGGTAGGGCGGGCAGCGTCAGTTGTATCTCCCTTCTATTCCATACTTCTTGATGTTTTTCAATCACGTTTGTGTTCAGCCATAAATATAAATATTAGAATTGATTACAAATTACTTAAGATGAATATCCACTGTGAACACTTTAATCTGCTCTTTTTGGATATCACTTCTGGATTCAGACCAATGAAAGTTTTCTCATTAAATGGCGTGCAAAATTTAAAAATACTTCTGACTTGCAATTCAAGATTGGTTGAATTTTATAAAATTTCTAGATTTAAACTAAAGATTAAAATAATCTTTTATTAACAAAAAGAGGAGATCAAGCATTGATCTCGATATCCATATTTCTAAAGTTTTTAGCTCAGATTTTATGATATTCAATTTATTGAGATCACTTCCACCAGCCTGATAATTATTTTCGAACAGAATGCTCATAAGTTGAAAAATGCTCATAATTTTGAACTAAATGTCAATAAATTTGAACAGAATGTTCCTAATTTTGAACTAAATGTCAATAAATTTGAACAGAATGTTCATAATTTTGAAATATTTTCACTAGTTCGTTATTTTCCCAAATAGATTGTTAAGTACAATAGATGGCAACGTGGTATTTGTACACTCTCAGTACAGCTGTATTCTTACATCACAAGTGTCAACTCAGTATTGTGCATAGAGAATAGAATATATATTAGAGGGGAATTTACTGGAAAAAGTGTAAAACGGCCATTTTGTTGTACTGTTTCCATACTGCAGGTGTACTTCACATATTTATGCTTTTATATTTTATAGAAAATCTAAAATTAATATTAAAAGAAAACCAAATTATGAAATAGGCTGGTTTCATAATTGACCAATGATCATTTCACATAGACTCTATGCCTTCCACTTTACAAACGATGATTTTCCGTTATAACTATAAATCAAATGATGTTTTTTTTCACCTAATTCATTATAAAGTTTATTTAACAGTTTAAAAATTTCGAAATTGAAATGGATAGTCTAGGGAACATGCTGTATTAATGTACTCTACTGCATATCATTTGTGAACATTTAAATGATTTGTACACTTTGAACTCCCTTTCAGGCTGAAAGGGACTGAAAAAATTCATACCGAGAGATTCTTTAAATTCCTCTCTAATATATATTCTATTCTCTATGGTATTGTGTCCAACAAAATTATTAATAATAGTGATAATTTTAGAATAAAGAGCTTATCTTACAGTGAAAAAGGTGCAATTTTATGTGTTATTTATTTTCTTTTTTTACACTTTTTTATTTAATCTTGAAAAACATGTCAAATAATGCGAGAAAATTTCGTTTTCCTTGTTATATTTGACACTTGTGACGTTGTGTATAATAGATCCATTTCTCTTGCCACCTATTGTACTTGAAAATCTATTTGGTTATTATTAACAAATGCCAGGTTTTCTTTTATCACTGAGATATTTGAGAGTTAAAACATAAAACTTTTTAGTTAACAAAAAAGTAATTTAATTTAAAAATAAATTGTGAAGAAAAAAGACTTACTACATTTAAATACAGAAGTACAATTTTTGAAAAGTTCAATGTTTTTCGAGGATTGGGGGCCATAATTTGTACGTTTTAACCAAAAAAAATATTTATTTTACCTACATGCGTAAACTTACATAATTTCGAATATTCGTCAATGTATCTAAACTACCGTAGTTGAGAAGAGGGTAAAGAAAATATATAGAAGTCACTAAGTCTTACATCAATGCCATGTAAATTAGTTCTCTAGCTGCGCTCATTCTTTATGGAAATAACTGTACATTGCTTCACAAGGAATATTCAAACATTTGAAGTTTGGCTGCACAAGACTTTTTTCCTCTCGTCAAAAACTGAATGGTTTGGTTTTCGGTAACAAATGAACATTTTTGGGATACTATCAGATTTTATTTTTTTATACTATACATTTAGAAAAATATTATGGAAATATAAATATTAAATCAAGTATTACGGGGGTTGACGCATGCTCATTTCTGCATAGCAGAGGCTCGGTCTAACTAGCAAATCTGGGAGGCTCGTGTCTGCATAGCGGAGGCTCATGGTATCCCGGAGTTCCTTTCTTTGGTTGACACTAGGGTTTCCATTTTTCCGGAAAAAAATTTCCATTTTGGAAATGGAATGATCCGGAAATTTGTTGCGTAAACCAGAATTCCTGGATAATTCCGGTATAAATGGAAACCGAAAATTTTCCGGTTTACGTCACGTAAACCGGAAAAATTTCCGTTTTACGAAATGGAAACCGTAAAATTTCCAGTTTCCATTTCGTAAACCGGAAAAATTTCCGGTTTCCAGTTTCCATTTCGTAAACCGGAAAAATTTCCGGTTTCCATTCCGTAAACCGGAAATTTTTACGGTTTACGTAACGTAAACTGGAAAATTTCCATTCCGTAAACCGGAACTTAAAGAATTTTTCTTATTTTAATTAAATTCATATTTACAAAGTTTGAAAATTTGAAGAAA